TTGTAGTTGGACAGCTTCAATTATTAAAAATTATAGCAAGTCAAAATCAGCTTCTCTGTAATCCCCAGCAATAATAATAATAATAATAGTGGTGGTGATAAAAATAACTAATGTTTATATAGTACCTGTTATGTGCCAGGTACTGTGCTAAGTGCTTTACAAATATTACCTCATTTGATGCTCGAATCAACCCTGGGAGGGAGGTCTTACTGTTATCTCCATTTTACAGATCAGGAAACTAAGGCAGAAAGAGGTTAATAGATTTGCACAGGGTCACTTGGCTAGTGAGTATCTGAGGCTGGATATGAACTCTGGTCTTTCTGACTCCAGGCTCCTCCATCCATCCACTGTACCACCCAGCTGCCCTACAGTATGTTCTACCATACAGAATAAAACTTAATCCCTCTTCCACATGACAAGTCCTTCAATTTGAAAAGAGTTATCACATAACTCTAGAGTCTTGTCTTCAGCGGACTAAGCTCCTTTCACCATATTTCATGTGAATGGATCCAGGTTTCCTCATCTTTCCTAGCTGCCTCTCTCAGCTCATCAGGGTCCCCTCCTTAGTGCAAAATGCTCAGAACAGAATATGCTAATACAGAATAACACTGCATACTGCTTTGTAAGTGCTAAGCCATTTTCTTGTGGGTTCTGTCTCCCTCCTCAGATTCCTAGGCATACAAACACAAGAGGATTTTTTTCCTCCCTCATTGAAATCTCAGCATATTATTCAATATATAGATGCCAATCCCACACTGTTCCTGGATGACTTTTTCTCTTGGCTCCTCTCTGGTAAGCCTTTTGAAGGCAAGTAGCTTATTTCATTTATTAGCTAAATTTCCCATCACATCTTACAAAGGGCCACGTACCAAATGGCTCAGCAGATGTCTGCTGACAAAAAATATATTTACCTTTTTCTGATTTGGTCTGTTTCAAGCCTGGCTGGTCCACAGAAGGGCACAGCCCAGGTTCCTGAGAAGTAGGCCTGTTGGAGGTCTGACTACCATGTTGCTCCAAGACAGCCTCTAAGACAGCCATTTCCTGTTGGAGTTTTTTCAGGTTGTCTTGCATGGTGTCCCTTTGCTACAACAAAGAAATGATCCTGTGTCAGAAGATTATGTTTCTCTCAAAGCAGAAAAACGTTAAAAGTTAATTATAAAGACATATTTCATGAAGAGAACACAAATTGTTCAGTACTGAATGACTAAATGTGATCAAACACCTATAATCTAACCGGGTTCACATAAGACATACCCATGAAATTGTTATAGTTAGAAATGGGGAAGAGGGAAGGTAAAGTACAAAATCAATGACCTGTTATAAGGTAGATATTTTGGTTTAAAGGTTGTGGGAACAAAAAAAAAATCCTTGAGAAATCTAATACTTTTAAGGTATTCAATAAATTGACTTTATATAGGCTTTGCTTTTGTCCAACTTATATTTTAAAGATGCAGGAAAGAATTAACTTTGCTTTGTTAGCACAAAGAAGATTTAGGTTAGGCAACAGAAAAGTTGCCAATTATCAAGGCGATTAAACACTTTAAAAAGCTCCTTAGAGGTCCTTAATCTTGCTTCCAGTCTGAAATTGACTTAGAGAATTTGCTTCTAGCTCCAGGATTCCCCAACTCTTTGGCTTCAGTCAGAAGGAATAAGGAGCTAATGCTAATGAGGTGCTTAGCAGATCACTGCAGAAAAGGATGAGAGAAATATTAACACGCTAGTGGGTTCCTATAGACAGATAACAAAAAATAACATAAATGGGGAAGAAAGTCATTATTTTGAATAAAAAGACGTTCAACTAATGGGGCCATAGGCACAGCCTCTTAAGAGTGGAAAGGATGCTGGGTTTGAACCTCACTTCCGATGTTTACAACCTGTGAGACCATGGATGACCAACTTAATCTCTCTTGAGTTTCAGTTTTCTCAACTGTAAAATGAAGATAATAACTATAGCCCCTGCCCCCCCAAAAATTGCTGTGAATTTCAAATGAGATAACATATGTAAAGCATTCTTCAAACCTTAACTGGCTCTATAAATACCACCTATCATTATTATATTTATGTTTTCCTCAGTTTATAAGTTCAGACTACTCATCACTTCATTTCAAGAAAGGGCCAATTAAGACATGGCTTCTTCACATGCATCAGTACCTCCAACAACTGTTTCTCTTATCTCTTACTTCTTAAAAAATTCTTGAAAACATCTCTGCCCTTCCCTAAAAACAGGCCATCTTCCTCCTCCTGCCACATTGACTTCAGAGCTTTAGCAGGAGGTTTTTCATGAGTGGAAAATGTATTCTGAGCTTGACAAAGGTTTCTACTGCCACACTGAGATGGCATTGCTGCCAGTGACTTTTGTAGCAACAGCACTGCCACCATGTGGAGCTTGGTGGTGTTCACATCTATGATCAGAAAATGGACAAGGTTTTTCCTCGGCAACCCCTGCTATGCTACGATAAAAAGGCCTCTGATTAATGCTTCCAGAGTTCTATTCTGGTTGCTATATTGCACGATTACCATACCCTGTCTCTATGCAGCTAATAAGCAGCTTAGGAAGGCAGAAAGAATAGCAAGAGGAGAACGATGCCTATATAACTGTACTCTGAGGGGGTGAGGGTACAGGGACCTTCCATTTTTACCAATTAAACGTTCAAAGTACTGCTTTCTGCCTGGACAGCTCCTAGGCATTCCGTTGGGTTTGGCCAGTCACGTTATAGAGATCTCAGATCTGTGATGCTGGGATGTAGTTAAGGCCTTAGTTAACCAGGGAACAGCTTAGATAAGCCATTAATTTCCATTGCTGCCAGACATCTTCCTTATGAATGCATCTGGCTGTATTACTTCTCTGCTCATTGGCTCAGTGGCTCTTTACTACCAGGAAGACTCAAATTTCCCTGTCTGGCATTTAAGGCCCTCCCCAATCTAGTGCACCCCCTACCTTGTCTGTCTTATCCAATACTACTCGCATCCAACTCTCTTTAGACACATAGACAGATAATGCATTCATTCAATGCTTATTATGTGCCCATCACAATTCCAAGTGCTGAGAATACAAATACAAATGATCGAGGCAGTCCCTGCCCCAGGGAGCTGACATTTCCATGGGGGTGAAACAACACAGAAAGGGGGACTGGAAAGCAGGAGGGGAGGGGTGTGCCAACAGCATGGTCTAGAGATGGCTAGGAAGTGAGGTGAAGGTCTGGCTCTGTACAACACAAAAGACCACCTTGAATGCCTAGAGAGGTTCCAGGAACGGAATACAAGTTTCTAGCAGGAAGGAGGTTGGGCTGAAGCCTGGAGTAGGGGTGGAATGATCTGGGGATGTTGGGAAGTATGAAGCTATCAAACCAGACAAATTATTATTCCTGTAAGTGTCCTAAGCATTCCTGCCTCAGTGCCTTTATATTTATTGTTCCTCATGCTGAAAATGTCCATTTTTCTACTTCTAATTTATGAATTAAATTGTACTATGGTTATTTATAACTATAAATGGTCCATAGTAAATTATAAACACTACAAGGGCAAGGACGACCATGACACTTAAATTCTGTATCATCCCCAGCATCTGCCCTAGACCTCCACACGTAGTAGGTACATGATAGAAGTTTTGGTGAATTGTCTTCTCTACAGTTCTATTTAACCTCTTAGTCTATTTGTGCTAAAACACATTACGCTAATTTGTAATCTGGATCAGGACGTGGGGGCAAATGTTTACCGTAACACTTCGAAAAAAATTAAACAAATCTCCAAATTAAAAAAACAAAACAAAAAAAATCCCTTAAATTAATACCTATGACATTTCTGAGAATGAGACCAGGAATATAATCTCCAACAATAGAAACTGGAGCAAATAATGGGATGAGGATACTTATTCCTGGAAATAGTATGTAAGTACTAAGTATGACAGGATAAGAAACTAGACCCTTAGAGTTTCCAATTTCAGAATATAAGAAACACAATATTCTTCTGAGATGGTGAAAACATCCTTTTACAAGCTCCCCAGATCCAGAAAGAATCATGAATCAGAGAGAAAGAAAAGGCCCCACAGGTCTCTTCATCTGTCTAGTCAGCATGGCAATCCTGCACAAATGGGGAGAATGCTTTGTACTCGATCTCAGCTCAGGTACAAAATAGGCAGAAGCCATACAAACTTCCTCCATAGTCCAACAGGCCCTAGGCTTTGGGAAACTTCCTTTCCACAGAAAATGAACAGGAAGACTTTTTTCTTTTCTTTTCTTTTTTTTACAGGGGTAGAGGATCATGGATACAGACCATTGCATATCCTGTCAGATGTGGTCGACGTGTTGATTAGTTTTACAGAACTGCTTTTTGTATTCTTTGTTATAAGGGATGGCTTGTTGGGTAGGAGAGGAAAGATGAAAATATATTTGAAAGTGAAGGTAATAGGAGAATAGATAACAATTAAAAAATTAAAAAAAAAATAAACTGAGAGTAGTAAGGCCTCTCTCACAGCCCCTGCAGCAGATTAAGGATTTGGGAAGTTGTTTTGATAAAAGCCAGCCAAACATTCTACTACTTCAAATACCAATGATTTCACTGGTTTCTTCTTACATTTCAGCTTGCCGTCAAAGACATTACATTCTATAACTCTTGGGATAACACTGGAGCATAGCGAAAGAACCACTTCTCCAGGGTCAAGATAATGAATAAATTTAACAGTAGATTCTAAGAATTAAAACGAGCATACCTTGAACCTTAAATGTCCCACATTAACCGCGAGGCTTTATTTGTTTCTGGACCTAGAAGAGACTCACTGAATGCTCAATAATACAGTACCCTACTAACTGATACAGTATTTAGGCCTCTCAAGGAAAGAATTCTAGGGCTGAAAAAACAGTAACGACGTTGCTCTCCCTGGGCTCTGCTCAGTCTTGCAATGCAAAGAATTATGAAAGGAAAAGAACAAGTTTCCATTTGCTTTTTGCTTCTTATTTACTTGCTGGCAGCCAGAAGCAGGCTTAGGGTGTAAGTGAGAAAAAAACAATTCTCAAAAGAGATGCAGGAGGTGAGAGGAATGATCCTTCTTCTAGGGATGGGGAAACAAAGATCCTAGGTATTTACTTGGTGAATCAGGTCTCATTAACAATGAAACACACTGCCAGGGTGTTTTCTTTGACAGGCAGAATGTCATAGGGGAAAGACTGCTGTGCTCAGTGTCAAGAAGGTCTAGGTTTGAATCCCTTCTCCCTGGTGACTGGTGGTGTGACAGTGAAGTCATGTAACCTCTCTGACCCTCAGTTTCCTTTTTTATAAAAGGGCAATAATAATGTTTATCATACCCATCCTCACAGGATTGTTGTCATGATCAAATGAGTTCAGGGACATAAAGTGCACTGCAAACTTCACAGCACATTTATAAAAAAGGTTAGCTATAATTATTATTCTCTAGCAGGCTATTCTACCTCAAAGTTTGGGAGCACCCATCCCAAAAGATTCTTCAATACTATTTATGCCAAATATTTTCAGGACAGATTACTGGTATTTGAAAAAAAAAAACTGCAAATGCCTACAAAATGAGAGTAAAACATAGGTCCTGGATTTTTTTTTTTAATTTTAAATCTTAAAAATTGAACGGTAAGATGCTTACAAACAGGAAGAAAACCACATAGGTTCCAGTTTGGTATTGTGAGCTAATCAATGCCTCTTTACATAAGTGTCTGAACAAAAGCAAGAGTAACTAAGGCTTTCCAATGCTCTCCAGGCTGTCTCTCTGCCCTGGGGAGAAGGGGTGGGCTCAAGCACCATCTCCTTGGTGCAACCTTCCCTGATTGCCCCCACAGCTCAAAGAATCCTCTCTGTGAAGCTTGATCAGGGTTTCTATTCTTTGATGTTATTACATTTTATTTCGATTTCTACTTATGTGGAGCATTTTCTAACTGTGCCAGCAGGAGATAAGTTCCTTAAAGGTCACAATAGTGTTCTTCCTTTTGTGTCTATCACCTGAACAACTTCTTGGTCATTTCTTTGTGTCATCTAGCAGAGTGCCTCCCACATATTAGATGCTTAACAAATGTCCGTTAAGTCAATTTGTGATAGAATGACACACAATCCACTACAAAGGACAATGATAAGACTTAATTAATGCTTACTGAATGAATGAATGAACAAAGTGTCTGCTACAGCCCTAGCAGGTTCTATGAGGGAAAACAAAAGATATGGTCAGAATTCCTGCTAATTAAAACTCTTTCATACTTTAGAACAGAAGAAGTTCTTAATTGTGTGTGTGTGTGGTCCTTCTGTCAGTCTAAAGCCTAGGAAACCCTTCTCAGATTTTTTAAATGCATAAAATCTAATACATAGAATTACAAGGGAACAAATTATATCAAAATACAGTTATCAAAACATATTTAAAGCAACAAATTCACAGAGGCAGATAGGTGGCACAGTGAATAGAGCAGTGGCCCTGGACTCAGGAGGACCTGAGTTCAAATCCGGCCTCAGACACTTGACACTTATTAGCTGTGTGACCCTGGGCAAGTCACTTAACCCCACTGCCTAGCCCCCAAAAAAAGAAACAAGTTCATAGAACTCAGATTAATAACCCCTGTTTTAAAAGATGGTCTACATGAACTGCTATTGCTGGGGGAAAAAAAATCATCACACAATAGCCAACCCTCTCATGATATGCTTCTCAGTCCTAGGTGTCTGCTAGACCTTGGAAGACAGACATGTCATCAGGCTTGTACATGAAGTCTTTCAAACCTGATTGTACCAGACTGAGTTTATACTTATGGAATAACCTTTGAGAACCCAAGATTATGCTATAATGAGATATTAGGGTAGAAGGATAGTGGAGGATTTCAAACATGTGAGAAATTATTAAAGGGCTACTTTTCTTGTTCCTGGACCTGAAATTGAATCACTTGATGACAACACTGTTACTCATTGTGGTAGCCCTAAGGTTTCTCAAGTAAAGGATAAACAATGTATAAATAAGTGTGAAATGTGTGACATATATCATATAGATGAATGTTGAAGATATATGCTTGCGAGTGTGCACACACGCACAGACACAGACACACAAATACAACACAGATACACATATCAATTTTCATACCTGAGTGGTTAAAATATCACTCTGAAAGGATAGCTGTGAAATGTCTCCAGGATGGCTTGTTTCACTGTCATACCCAGATGCAGAATCACCTTAAATGATTTTTTGAAAAAAGAAAATAGATGTAAATCGTAAAGTGAGATAACAACACATTAAAACACAATGCTTTTTTAAGTTTCCCAATTTTTTTTTGGAGGGAAATAAATATCATTATGGAATTTTAATTTTGTACAAGGAAACCAGTTAGAACTACATTTAAAACTAAACTTTAAAAAAGATGGTTGCCTTCATCAGACAGATATTTCTTTCCACTGACATAATGCATACACACATACAAACAAAGATGAGCCCTCTCTTTTTAGAACCTAAGGCAGGCACCTAAAAGATCCTTTTAGAAAAATAAGTTATGATCTCAAGAAATTCTACTACGTCTCATTCAAACAGAGATCTGTCTTCTAACTCCACAGTCATTCATTCAAAATTTCTTCCTGAAAGAAAATCGCCTTAGGATAAAATAGGGCTGAAAGTTTAAAGTTGAGACATAAATTTTCATAACTCTTTAAATACATTTATCCAAAGGCATTAAAAACAAACATTTAGGCAGTAGTATAAACTAGATTTCAGCAAACACAAAAGCCTGGGGTCAATACCTAAATTTGCGTCCACACCCTGGTCCTTGAGGTGATGGTCTTCATCTAGGTCAGTTTCCCTTTCTCCCTCATCTTGAGAAACCTTGGGCATCTTGCTGCCACTCTGCATTTCTTGGGTTCTGGACTGACTTCTCCCTTGTTTGGAAGAACCAAACACCAAGGCAGAATCCTTGTCATCTGCTTTTCCAGTTAAGTCTTCTAATGAATTAGACTGTGAAGAAAATAAGCTACCAGAACATTCAGAATCTTGGCTGGAATTATCATCCTGGGATGCTTCCCTAGATGATATGTGAAGATTGCTAGCACTCATCCTATTTCTGTTTAGGAAGGCTGGATTCTCCTCTGCCTTGTTTGCTGAAAGCTCTATGGCAGTAGTTTTATTTTTGGTGGGCTGAGAGGGAGTGCTTGCTGCTTTGCCAAATATTAAGTCTCGAAAACTTGGAAGCTCTCCCTCTTCACTGGAGGTATCTTCTTCTGAGGACTCCAGTTTCCGGGCCTGTCTTCGGGATTTCCAAGTCAAACTGGGATTTCTATGGGCTAAAGGGCTACAGCTTTTTCTAGACTTTTTACCAACTTTGTCAAAAATAGCAGATTGTTCTTTGATGTCACTTTCGACAAAGCTAGTGTTTTCTTTTATTTCACCATCACTGTCCAACAAGTCAGGAGTCTCAGACCAAACCTGAGAAGAATGTGTACTCTCTTTAGTTTGTTCTAAACATGGAGATGAATCTGTACTGATGGCCTGAGCTAATTTTCCATTTCCTCCCTTCCCTTTTCTTTTAGACTCTTTGCAATTATCCTGAGGAAAGCTTTGTTGACAGATTTGGGGTTGCACAAGCTTTAATTTGGGTTGTGTATTTAATTCAGATTCTTTGTTTTCACCTTTTTGTGCCTGACTGCCTTCTCCACTAGAGCCTATGCTGATAAATCTATTTAAGTCAGTTGCTTTAGAAATATATTCTCTGCTATTACTTTGGCTTACTGGACTTAAGCTGCTTTGGGCTAAGCTTTCATTTCCCATAGCTGTTTCAGGACATGTGGTCTGTTCATCAAGCCTTTCCTCCAGGAGGTTTTTTGTATTTATAGTTTTACTAGCAGATGACCTTGCTGGAGAAACTGATGGTTTTTGATCAGGAACTTGCGAAATTCCCTGGTTGTTTCCAGCAATGTGTTCACAGTCAATGACACCATGTAATGGAGCTATGTGACAAAGCCTGGACACTTCTGTGGTGCTACATTTGGCATAAACACCTGGCTTCCTCTCCTCTGTCTGACAAGCCGCAGCTAAGCTCATGACTGCAGACTTTGGCCACACAGGCTTGTTTGATTCTCTGTTTCCCTGCTTTTCTTTTTCCTGGCCCCCACAATCTGTGGTGTTATCTGGACTCTGCTGATTTACAGTCCCAGGGACAGCAGAGGGTTTCCTACATTCCTGCCTTGGGCTAGAACGCAGAGCAAATGACTGGCGCTTTGAACGTTTGAAGGTATTTTGTAAATACTGGGTGTCGAGTTCACTATCCTCCATTTCTGTGGTTGTCTTGGAGGCATTTTTAACTTCCTGTCTCATCAGGCTCCTCAAATCTTCTTCGTCACTTTCAGTGTTTTTGGATGAACAACCATCTAAGAGTTCCTTGGGGGTTTCCATTATTTCACTGTGGCTTCTGTGAGGACTGGGTCCTGCTTTTGAATTTTGGGGAGTATCAGCTGGAAACAATGAGGTACTGTCCTGAGTGTCCCAATCAGTATCAGGAACCTCCAAAGCCTCCAGGCTTCCTGGGGCTCTTTCACCTTGCAACCCCTCCCCTCCATTCAAGGGCAGATCTTGGTCTTTGCTGCTTGGGATTGCTTCCAGGCTCCTTTCATCTCTTTCTTCTGTGAAACTGCAGCTAGCTAACACTTGATCCCTATCAGTAGTTAGACTGTCAGTAGCACAGGCAGGCACGTTTCCTATTTTTAGTTCTGGGAAAACTTCACTGATACAACTTTCTTCTGCTTGGTCATCTGGCTTATGGGCCTTCTTGGCTCCAACCACAATTTCTTCTGATAGCAGCCGAAGCCTTCTGCTGCGTCTGATTTGCTTCTGTTCAGAATTAGTTCCTTTCCTTATCTCTTCACTGCTGGGATAGCTATCGATCTGCAGTTCACTCTCATTAGAAGAGCTTGGGTTTCTATCAACTACGAGCTCAAGAGCACGGACGATCCTGGCTGAAGGCTTCTTCCTCAGCCTGTCTTTTCTTGTCATTTTGGCATTTCTACTATTTAATTCAAGCTCCCCATGGTTTGTGCTGCCAGCTACAGGCTCTGTTCCAGTTCTGAAAGTGGATTCTTTCTCCGCAGAGAACAGCTCTAATACCTGAACATCTTTCACTTCCCCTACATGACCACCTAGGGCTTTCTGCTCAGGAAGACTGTTAGCCGTGTTCATCACTTGGTCACTTTGTTCTCTTTTGAGAATTTGGTCAACAGAGTGATTTTTCTTTTCAGGGGTTTTGTGAATAACTGGAACGTCCGTCTTCCTGATGAAATCCTCAGGCTGCAGGTCAGCTATGCTCCTTCTTTTACGCTTTAACCTGGTGTTTTTGGGAGCCTCTAGAGGGATCAAGGAATCAGGAGCCACAGCTTCAGCAAACAAGTTTTCAGTTACATAATTCAAATTAGGGTGACCTGACTTTCTCCGATAGGTTTTTCCAAATATTTTATCTTCAATATTGTTTTCTGCAGGCCTGGGACAGCTTCTTTTAGGCACATGTAGCCAGGCATCATCAGTGCTGTCAGCCACTGGGTCAGTCTTCTCAGAAACGCTAGAATTTCCCTCTGCGGTATCTGGATGCCCATCTTCTAAGGCACTAGGCACCTCTGCGCTCTGCTCATGGCTCCTACCGTTGGAGTTATCAGAGGCTAAAATGTCACTACTTCTGGATAACCACTCATTAACTTTCTGAATGCTGCTTTTCAGTTTGGTTCCAGACAGGCAGTTCTGAGGATTACCTCTAGGGCTCTCAGGGTGCTGCGGCTTCTCCTCTAGGCCTTGCCTCTCACACAGATGATGGTCATTCAGCTCATGCCGCTCACAGGCACCTGGGGTCTTCCCAGGGCTACATATTTCCTTACTTTCATCGAGACTGCTCTCTTGGTTCCTTCCTAAGGCAGGCTGTTTGTTTTTATGGCAGAGTTCAGCCTTTTCTACATTCATTCTGTCTGTGTTGGGCAATAAACTGCTGGTTTTAGGAAGTAATGAACTGGCATGAGTGTCTGTGCCACATGGCTCCATATTCAAGTTCGAGGAAGAAATACCCTGAGACTCGTCTGGATGTCCCTCAGTGGCATTCTCCTCGATGCCATGCACATCTTCGGTGTCAGGCTGATGCTGCTGCAGGCTCTTTATGGTCCCCTCAGGTAACTCAGACTTAGCTGAAAAAAAAATACAAAAATAACAAAGCACTTACAGGCTTATGCTTCATTTAAAATACATTTTAATAGAACTTTGAAAATTATGCAAGTGGCTATATTCATGGAAAATGACCTAGAAAGATTAATAAGCATAATGGAATTATACACAATATGTATAATTAAGTTTGTTTATGGATTCATTAATTCTCTATTAAGATTCTCATTCCTTTCGTTTAAAAGTAGTTAAAATTTAATCTCAGAATTTCTTTATTCCTAAATTGTACCGCTTCCCCTCATCCTCTAAAAGCTTATTAAATCTAAAGTGGTTAAGCCCCACCCACACAAGGTTATGCTCCATCTACTGAACCATGTTCCATACATTTAAAAAACTCAAAACACAAGAGAAATGACAAATACCACAATTTAAAGTGGAAGACAACAGTACATTAATAAAACAACATGATGGCAGGAGCAGAAATTTTCACAGAAATAAAACCGTAGATAGGAGATATGTTCTTGGGCTGCCAAAACTCTGACTCTAAGGGCTTAACATAGGTTTTTTCCCCCCAGAGACCTAAGCCTAATAGGAAACAGAAAAATCAGGACTGGGGTACACACGGCAGATCAGGGGAAGCTTTCAGCTGACCTCTCCCAAGACTCCCCTCCAAATAAAATTTGATGTGGCAGAGCCAACAAAAGTTCAGGGTGAGACACTCTTCCAGCTCAAGACAACTTAGGAGGTCAGAAGGAGTGATCTGTGACATGGGGGAAGAGGCTAGCCTGGAGATCACATGAATGCAACATTAGTGGTAGGACTAAGTAATGGTGGTAGAAGCAGCAGCAGCAGCACTGGGAACTCTCAAGTCAAGAGACATGGCAACTGGTCAGAAAGAGATTACAGTCAACCTCCATGCTAGCATGGGATGCAGGACAGGAAGCTGTTTGGCAACACTATTGCCTATATCCATTTCTGGGTCACAGGTCAAAGGTGGAGAGGAACATTTTGGTCAAGAGGAAGCAGGGGCCCTAAGGAGCCATATCACTTTTGGTCACAAGGGATTAGGGATCCTGAGGAATTGTATGACTTGTAATCCCAAGAGATCAGGGGCCCTCCCAGGGTAAGGACCAGAGTGCAGTCCAGGAGAACAGTAATCACACTTCTCCCCAGCATCTTGGAAGCACTGAAAACTTCCAAACCCTCAGAACTAGCTCTGAAAACAGAAGTGCAAAAAAGCCTGAAGCTTGGGACAGAACAGAGCCCAACTTTAACATATATTCAAAGTCAAGAAACAGGCCAGAAAAATGAGCAAACAACAAAAAAAGAACCTGACCTTGAAAAGCTGCTAGAGTGATAGGGAAGATCAAGACACAAACTCAGAAGAAGACAATGAAGTCAAAACAGCTACAAGCAAATCTTCAAAGAAAAAACATGAATTGAGCTTAGAACTCCTGGAAAAGCTAAAAAATGATTTTGAATATCAAATAAGAGTGGTAGAGGAAAAATAATTGAGGGAAGAAAATCATGAAAAGGCAATTAACAGGTTGGTAAAAGAGGTACAAAAAATGCTGAAGAAAATAACACCTTAAAAAGCAGAATTGACAAAATGGAAAAAGAGGTACAGGAACACACTGAAGAAAATAATTCCTTGAAAATTAGAACTGGTTAAGTGGAAGCTACTGATTCCATGAGACATCAATAAACAACAAGACAAGAGTCAAAAGAATGAAAAAAAAATAAGAAAATGTGAACTATCTCATTAGAAAAACAACTAACCTGGAAAACAGATCAAGAAAAATAATTTAAGTATTATTGGTTTACTTGAAAGTAATAATTAAAGACGGAGCCTGACCATCAAATTTCAAGAAATTATAAAGCAAAGCTGCCCTGATACCCTAGAACCAGAAGATAAAATGGAAATTGAAAGAATCTACTAGTCATCACCTGAAAGAGGTGAAATGAAATGAAATGAAATGAAAACTTGCAGGAAGACTATAGTCAGATTTCAGAGCTCCTAAGTCAGAGAGGAAATATTTCAAGCAGTCAGAAAGAAACCACTTGAATACTGTAGAGCCACAGTTAGGATCACACAAGATTTAGCAGCTACTACATTAAAGAAGCAAAGGGCTTGGAATATGATATTCCAGAAGGCAAAAGAGCTGGGATTACAACCAAGAATAACTTACCTGGCAAAACTGAATATAATCCTTCAAGGGGAAAAAAATGGATATTTAATAAAATTGAAGACTCTTTTCAGAGCTAAATTGAAAATTTGACTTCAAGAGAAAGATAAAAAGTAAATATGAAAGAGAAATCATAAGGGACTCAATAAGGTTAAACTCTTTACATTGCTATATGGAAAGGTGATACATGCAAATTCTAAGAATGTTCTCATTATTAGGGCAGTTAGAAGGATTCTACAAAGAGAGAGGGGGTGGGAATGAGTGAATAATATATTGGGGTGATGTAAAGAAAATAGATGAGTCAGAAAGAGGGATGTCCTGGAAAAAGGGAGGAGGGAGAGAATGAGGAAAATTATCTCACATAAAAGAGGCATGTAAGATCCCTACAAGGAAAGATGACACTTGTAATTCTTGAGAACTGTATCATTATTACAACATTTAAGAGGGATATATGGGGGGCAGATAGGTGGAGTAATGGATGGAGCACTAGCCCTGGAGTCAGGAGGACCTGAGTTCAAATCTGGCCTCAGACATATAACAGTTACTAGCTGTGCGACTTAAGTCACTAACGTCACTTAAGTCCAATTGCCCTGTCAAAAAAAAAAAAAAAAAGAGGGATACATAGAGGGTGTGGGTATATAAATTGACTTTTATGTGATGATTAAAAAATCTAATTAAGTGGTGAAAAGGGATTGCTCTGGCAGAAGAGGAAAGGAGAAGGCAAACAAAGGTAAACTACATCACATGAAAAGGCACAAAAACATATTACAATAGAGGGAAAGAAGGAAGGGAGATAGCTTTGTTTGAATCTTACTCTCATCAGATTTTGCTCAAAGAGGGAATAACATAATCAGTTAGGTATAGAAATCTAACTTACCATATAAGAAGTAGGAGTGGAAAGGGGAAAGGCATGCCATCTTGGGGAGGGGAAAAAATTTAAAACTCAAAAATCTTATGGAAGTGAATGTTGAAAATTAAAAATAAATAAAATTTTTTTTTTAAAAGAGGCATGTAAGGAAGAACTTTTGCAGTACAAGGGAAAATGGTAGGGGGTAGGTGGCAACGTCTGAACCTCACTCTCATCTAAATTGGTTCAAAAAAGGAAAAATAGATAAACATACTCAATTAGGCACAGAAATTTAAATTACCCAACAGGGAAACAGGAAAGGAAGAGGATAAGAGAAAGTGGGTGGTGGTGGTGGTGATAAAAGGGAGGGTAGATAAAGGAAGGACAGGATAAAAAAAGAGAGAGAGAGAGAAGTATAAACAGAAGAAAACAGGAAGGAAACAAATACACAGTAATCATAACTGTGAATGTGATAAACTCGCCCATAAAAATGGTTGAAACAGCAGAATGGATTAGAAATCAGAATCCAACTATATTGTTTATAAGAAACACACTTGAAACAGAGACAAACACACTGAGTTAAAAATAAAGAGCTGTAGCAGAATCTATTATGCTTCAGCTGAACTAAAAAGCAAGGCTAACAGTTATGATCTCAAAGTAAATGCAAAATCAGACCTAATTAAAAGACATAGGGGGGCAGCTAGAGGGCGTAGTGTATAGAGCACCAGCCCTAAAGTCAGGAGGACAAGTTCAAATCCAGTCTCAGACCAGACACCTGACACTAGCTGTGTGACCCTGGGCAAGTCACTT